AAAAAAAAAAAAAAAAGAAAAAGAGAAAAAAAAATGAAACGGAGGCTCGAATGGACGGAAGTTTCGACGCGTCGCGCGAAGATCGGGGGAGAGGGTAGGGACTCTTTGTTCGAGCGAGGCACGTAGCCGGGACGTCGTGTGAAAAGTCGCGTAGCGCGGATTTTGTGGGACGGAAAAGTCGCGCGTAAATCACGGGAGGTATTCGTTAAGTAACCTACATTTCTCTGCTCTGGCTTTGATCTGCTTCTCTCCCTTCCTTCCCCTCTCCTCTCCTTTTGTCACGAAAGAATATTTTTTTTCTCGCGTGACGGATAGATCGTGTCTCGGGGAAAACGCGGCCGTAACGCGACGAGCCGCGTTTCAGCTCGACCGATCGTCGTCGCGTGTTCGCGAGTCGCGCGCGATTATTGGTAAAGCAATTAGAGTAACGTAGGCGGACACACATACACGTCTCTCTCTCTCTGTCTGTCTGCCTATATACGGGTGTAGCGCGTTGTATATCTACTTTGTGACATGCAGCCACGACCTTTGACTCGATCGGCAAACTCAAGATTTAGGTTACCGCCGCTTGCGACTGTTCCATGCAAATTTCCGCTCGAAACTAGAATCGACTACCGCTGTATTTAATATAGGCGTCTCTTCCTCCTTTGTGCCAGCAGCTATAGCTAGCTAGAATGATAGCGATCAAAAGGAATTCGATGCGTTGTTCTCGGGTCTGTTTCGTTGGGATTCAAGTTCGAATCCGCCGTCCCAGTGCCAACAACCCTCGTGATTCCCAACTTTCATTCGTCCACGTACACGCGACCTAGAGACACCGAGGGCTTCCGATCTTGTAGATGGGCTAACCTCGTGCCAAGTATTCCCGCCTTCCTTACTCCCTCGTGCATTCGTGCTAACCTACTTGGCTTGCGGATCCTTCCTGCCTGGACCGGCTTGTCATCTTCATCCCTTGTGATTAGGATGGTTAACGTTGTTTACGAACCACCCTTCTAAAGAAACTCTCCTATGATCGTCGAATCGTGTACGCGCTCAAAGCGGGTGAACACAAATTGAAAATTCACGTGTATACACCAAGAGAGGACAAAGTTGGAAGTGTATCAGAGTTTCATCGTCTCGACGAAAGACACGGAAACGTTGCAAGTTAGCGACAGGCTGGAATAAATCGATGACATCGGTCACATTCCATTCCAGTTCAATTACCTCAGCGATAAATTGACTCTCCTCCGGTATCAAAGCCTGGCCATTCCCTCGACTGCAACCGCTCACAATCCTATCTCTCTGTCCACTAATCGAAGAGTGCCCGTTCGTTTCTTCCATTCCAAGACTTTCGCGAATGATCCCGCCGTTCCTTCGATTGAAATCGAGCACCTTAACAAAGTCCCTTCCATCGAATGTCGTTTACCAGACGACCATTCACCAGAGTCTTACATACGACAACTTCAAATCTATAGAACTCGCTAGAAAGTTCTTTTTTCATCGATTATTCTATAGCCTGCAAAATACTTCGCATCGTTCACGACGCGATAGAAACCAAGTTTCCCTTCTACGTGTTATCTCCTTCGCTTCTACCGACAGTCAGGACTCTAGCGTCGTTCATACGGTGTATAAACTGCAGGACTATAGTCGTAGTCGACATCGAGTTTCTGAAGCTCGATAATAAGACGTTCGTTTGCATGGGGATTGGCGATTTCGCATCGTTGAACGTTACATGGGACTCTATCGCGCCTTCCACCCTCCTTGCTCTTCCTTTCGAGTTTCCAGTCGATGCTGATAGTTTTATAAGCAAACTCTGTTCGATAGCAGCAGAGAACGTTCGATAAAAGCCTCGCGTTCGCTGAATTCACCGAGGCTGAATTCTCTCGGACGTCTGATGGCTGTTCCGGTCTCTTGGATCTCGAAAACCGCGCTGAAAGCCAAACGAGCGGGGGTTAAAAACGTCGCGCTGCGAATTAGTTACGCGGCTGGAATTAAGTAGCTCTGCCTAAACGAAATCATAGCGGGTGCAGATAAAAGTGGAACGACGACGGTGCGATGCAATTTGCAGAAAAATCTCAGCTCGACGAAGAACGGCCGACGATAGACTGAATGTTAATAGCAAACCGTGAGAGATAGTAAAAGAAAGAGGAAAAGATCTGGTGGTCTGTTTCTTAGTTTCGTTTGACCGAAAATCTCGAAATGGAGGATTTACAACTACCAGGGAATCTAATGGCGACTCGAGTCGAGTCTTCTGAAGCATTCCCGCTCGAAGAAGCAGCACGCTTTTCTTCTCTGTTTTCCTCCTCGAAGCTCGCTGATGCGAGCATACCGCGGTAGGAGGACTTCGCTATCTGTTCTCGAAGTTACTTGCTACAACGACGAGAACCAAAGAAGAAGGGTTTGTTAGAACGCAGCTAAGCACGTACGTACACGTGCGTCTACATATTTATCGAAGCTGGTTTGCCGTCTTCTATCCGGGGGCTGTTCATTTTCAACGTATCCCCCTCGCATGCAGCGTTCGTTTGATGGTTTAGCCTGTAATTTCCATACAACGTCGACTGCTTCTAAACGTGCTCCTTTCCTGTCCTATCTACCTTCGTGATATCGCGTTAGTCTTCGAGAGACGTGATGAAATTGCGTTTCTTTTTGCATCTTTCTTTCAAATCGATCCAAAGTAGCGAGATATGTCGTAACCGATTTTGTCGTAACCAAAAGGAGAGGAAACATCTTGCGTTCTAACGTTACCGGAATTATCTTGAGTTCCATCTGACATTTTCAATGTTTATAAAATAGATTCCTTCTCCCCCTATTCGTTTTGCTCACGGGGGAATAATACGTTTCTTATATTATACTTTACAGACGGAAGCAGGACGAGGTGACGATCCTCGAGGAAAGGATACGGGCCTGTTCGGAGAAACACAAGAAGGCGGGAGTGGAGTTGCACGCCACGTGTCACATATGCCTGAAAACCAAGTTCGCCGACGGCGTCGGCCACATCTGCAACTACTGCAGCATCCGGTGCTGCGCACGCTGCGGCGGAAAGGTCACTCTACGGTCGAACAAGGTAGGGGCGAAATCGGAAAAGAAGCGGCAAGATATATTGTCCGAAGGAATCGAGTTCTCCTCGAGCTCTCGCGCGCTCTAATTCCCTCTGTTTTTCTTACTCGCTCGCGTTCTACGTTCGAACACGCCGGGGTGGGGTCCCGGCTGACTTATTAGCTACGTTAACTTTTCTCTGTTCGATCTACTGTCGTCGAACCTTATCCGAATGCAATGTCTGATTTACCGATTGTCTCCTATCGCTGGCTATTTTTTAGATTTTCGAATCTATTTCTTTCCACCGATAGCGAGTTTAGAGTCAATCGACCGATCGACTATCTTCATACTCTGTATTCTATCCACTGATTTCTCGAATCTTGTATCGATATAATTTTTCATCACGGTTATCTATTATCGGTATTAGCTGTGTTTTAGGCTTTTGAATTTATTTCACTTATGTCACTCCACTGGTTAGTGTAGTTTGGTAACGATAAATATCGATCGATTAGTTATTTTAACTTTTCTATTATTCGATCTACTCTCGTACCTTGCATATATACAATATCCGATGTTTTCTAGTTTATTTCATTTCACTGGTAGAGAGATTGGTCTCAACATTGATTGACGTTAACTTTTTGTATTTCATCCACTGCCCTTTGAAACTTATATAAATACAATGTCCGACAATGATCGTCTTCTTTCACTAGCTGCACTTCAAGCTTTCGAAAATATTTCTTTTCACCGGTTGCGAGTTTGGTTTCAACATTGTGCAATCACGAAGAAATCGTCGCTCCTCGCTGTCTTTCATAGCTTCAAATATCTTTAGAAGCATCGAGAATAGTATTTTTGAATTGAAAGTTTCGTTGGTTACTCGTAGAGAGTTTTGGAATGATTTTGGCGAGAGAATGCGCGCTTTCGGTAGAGGGTGGCTAGATAATCCGCTATTTTTCTTTTAATTACAGAAGCCACTTAAATTTAGTGAACATCTATGCTTTGAGGGATCACGAGTCTTATTTGTCGCCAGACCGGTCAGGTTCGCGACCAAAAAAGATTCATTACCTAAATGAAGGGATCAAAGGAAATCCTCTGTGACGGTGCATTCGGTACGCGAGCACCGGAAACGCCTTGCCTCTCGTGACGTTCCAAGGCTCGTTCTTTTCACGCCACCCGAAGATTCAAGTAAATTTACCCCCATGCGGAAATATTTGAATTTCTATCCTCTTAATTGCCGTAAATGAATCGTTCAACCTTATCGGAGAATACAGATCAAATTCTGTTGCACAGATCGTTAGAAGCGAATGAAAGATTTGTTTAAATTCGAGAAAAATATTGAACTTGAAGATGAAATGAAAAGCATCACAGATCGATAAGCAATGAGATCTGTCGCAAGAATCGATAGGGTGGAAACTAGCCCGAAAGCCACAGTCACTCGCTCGGCCCTCGCTGATAACTCTGATCAATGGGATCTTGGGTGCGAATCTGTGCACTCGGGAGAACGGAAACGAGGCTACGATTGCCGACTCCTTCGAAGTATTATCTCGGGCCTGTCGCTGTACGTTTCGTTGCACTATATTCGCGCGTTGCACAATCTCGCTATCCTAAATAGAATGGCGACGAGAATCTCTGGTCGACTAGGAAAATTGAACCATAAATTCTGGTGGTACTTTTCTCTTTTCATTTCCAGCCTGGAAATTTTTGAACGCTCTATATAAAGGCTTATTCGGCGAGATCATTATTAACATTTATTATACGCTTAAAGTGTATGCTAATATACTGTATGCTAATGTCTCTTCTGTACACATTTTGGCATTTCAATGTGTTTTATGTAATATATTAATTTTCCATGACAAACGTTCAAACGTTTTCATGAGTCGTTGTATATGTAATTAGACGAACACACAGAGGCGTACAAATTTTATTTAATAAAAATTGAGACGAATCGTAGGAGGAGAGATAAGAACCGTTGAAAAATTAGATCGACGTCAAATGGAATGGTAGCGTGAGAGGCGGTTAATGGCGGAAGAAGGTCTCGTTCGCGCGTTATCGAAGATTCCAGCGATTTCACGCAGTTCCAGTTCCCGGCGTTCGCGGAAAATTGGATCCGCGCCGCTGTGATTTATCGCGTCTTCAAGGCAGTCCATTTATTTCCTAAGCGAAGAGATTTCGAAACACGAGCCTTGTCGTTGTCGTCGTCGTCGGGGCGGCCACGATTACCGCCACCGATGGTTTGGCTTTGGTGTTAAAAGTGCAAAGAAGCGATCAGCGCTAGAAATGTCACCTTCCTGGAAACAATTAAGAGCAACCCTATCGTAAAAGACGATAACTGGCCGCGTATCGTCGCGCACGTTTGAAATACGTGGAAATAATTGACCTATAGCGGCACTGTTGTCCCCCTTACCGCCCACCCTTCTCCATGCTACACCAATTAACCGTTATTGTGGACGTGCGCGTGTGTAACGTATGTGGGCGTAATGCCATCGTTAAATAGCCAGCTAGCGAATATGTTTCCTATCTATGAACGCTGGTATTTCTCCGGTCAGATCGCACAATTTTGATAGGATTTTCATCAATGGGAATGAAATAGTGCCTACGGACTTGCCTGCAACCTAGCTTTTTATTTCTCGTCTCTCGCCTTTGAACACGACACGCCCTTCGTCATGCATCCCCATTTCGAGGCGATATTTAACAATCGAGTGATTATGGACAGGTCGTATTATCATTATTGTCATTGAACATTTATCGTCGAAAGTTGGATTTTATAATCGATCGTTGCGATTTTATTTGCGATTGAAAGTTCCTTGGAACGTTACTTTTTCCATATTTCAATTTCTATATCTTTTTATATTTAAGGAAGTAATGCCGATGATAAGTTTGTAATTTGGCAAATTTGATTTTTTATTTATTTATCGCTTACCGGATCAAATATAGTCTTACCGCCAGCTGTTTGGTAAAGTAACGTCGATGATTTAAAACGATTCGAAGAGAAATCCTCGAATAGATCGCGTAACTCGATTAACGACACGATAGTTTAGCGAGCGATTCTTCGAGGTTGCGGCAGTTATTCGCTTGTATTCAGGAGGCCCGCGGCATAAAGGGTAATTTAACTTCGTTTTTGAAAGCGGCGCATCCGGCAGCAGAGAAATAAGAGCGACAACCAGGGCTTTACGCACGTACAGAGAATACACGCGCGCGCATTTCACCCGGGGAGGTACAATAATAGAGGCAGACGCGCGGAACTTCGGCTTACAACTTCCTGTAAGTTTATTGGTTTTCATCGTACACTAACGCGGCTTAAGAAACGGAGGCTGGCTATGCAGTCGGTTAAAGTGAGCCTTGCGCGCCCGGTTCCCTCCCTGGCCACGTATTCCATCAAGAACGCAACAACAATTTACGATACTTTCGAAAATATTTAATCTTCGATTCAACGCCTTTGTCTTTGAAACTTTCGCAAAAGTATCATCATAGCTGCCAGTTAGTTTCTTAGTTGTGCACTTTGCTGCAGATTCGAAGAGATTCATTGATCGTTCTCTGAGAGACTCGTGTTCCTCTCCGAACATCCATCGCCGTTATAGCGAATCCTCGCTTAATACAGCCGAAAATATATGATAGACCGAGGAGGTGGCGTGTACGCGCGTGCCAATGGTTCGTCCAGCGAACACGTACTCCCACATGAGCACCAGGGCCACACGCAAGCACGATGATAAACGTCACGGCGCGCGTTACGACATCATCGATCCGCTAGAACGGAACGCTCGTACGTTTCTTCATTGCTGTAAAGAGAGAAAGAGAAAGAGCCAGAGCCACGGTACGCGAGGTTCGTTCAATTACACGAGCCCGGGCTTTTTCACCAAACGGGGTTCTTCGATTCGTCGGTTCTCAGGGTCCGAACGAATCCCTTTTCTTCTCTTTCCTTCTTCAGTGTTTTTTTTTCCCCGAGCCTTTTCGTCTTTCTGCTACTACACCATTACGTGCGATCAAACCTAGCACGCATATACACACCTTCCCCCCTTCCTCGTCTTTCTTTCTTTCTTTCTTTCTTTCTTCTTTTCTCTCCTCGCCGATCTCTGTACTCGTTGTGGTTTCGTCTCTCTGCGTGAGAGAGCCTATGAATGGGGCGCGTCCCTGTGTGACGTCACGTTCCAGGGGTAGAGGGCTGGGGTCAGGAATGAAGTGCGGGGTGGACGAAGGTGTGGGTGGATGGATGTCGGGCGGCGTGCAGGGGGGCGAAACGTGACGCAACATATTGATCTAAGTTTCGTAGGGAGGGTTACAGAGTCCATGATGGGGACACACCGACCGACGCGGACAGGGTTGGAGGGGCTCGAGGAGAGAACGGATAGGGAATGGAATACAAGGTGACCGGTAAATTTACGTTGTTCTTCGTTTCGACGCGGTCGCGGTGTATTTGGCGTGGCGGTGCCTCCCGTTCATCGAGGGGAAGGAGTGGCTTTGAAGCTGGCCGCACACGCGTAGGCGGAAGGGTGGCCAAGGAGACGGCTTGAAACGTATCGCACGGCCGAGGCAGTTGCATTTCTCTTAATGAAATTAACGCGGATTGAACGTTCATCGGGAAGGCTCCCGTTAATTGAAACGATACAAAGTCCACGATATATGATATAGTAGTTGAGAGGGCAAACTGCGTAGAGTACAGTAGTGCTTCGGTAACTGGTCGAGATCTTATTTGGTCAGCTATCGAAGCAGCGAAATCCTGAGCATTTCTCTTCTCAGATTGAGATACGAATGCTTGGCACGTACGTATCAGAGCCATTAATGCTATTAGGGAAATTTTCGGAGCTACAGATGTTAAATAGATTTTCAGTAACAAGTTTGGTAATAAAACAAGCGAGTTTCACAAACTACAAATCAGCTAGCCACTTTATTCGACACGAAACTCTAAGACTATGGAAACTGTTTCTGCAGAAGTTTGTATCCTACAACTTGTCGCTTGTCGTTTTATTAATATTCATTTTATTTGAACTTCGTTAATGTTTACTTAGTAAATTATCGTGCAATTATGTCTGGAGA